TGATGATGTATTTGATACGGGTATCCTAGATGCGTTTTGGATGTTACGTTTCTGATTTCTGTTTTCAGCTTTGTTACGTTTTGATAGCGTTTGTAATGTTTTGGTCAAATTCATTTTTTAAATGTATACTTTCTTTTGTCCGGCAGTGTACATAGGTGAGGTTTCCTTCTTCGTAAATACTATGCTGACAACTATATACAAAGAAATTAATATACACGTGAGAAAACGAACCAATTATTCAGAAAACGATTAAGGGGATCATTAATCCATACAAAACAGTGTCTTCCGAATCTAACGGCCTATCAAAGATTTAAACACGTTATTCATTCAGTGAACTCTCACGTTAACAGTACCACGCCCTGTATTTCAAAGGCCTTTGTCACAGCCTATACCTTAACCCCTGACGTAATATAGAAACGAAGGCCAATGAGAAAAAAAAGTCAAGCATACATAAATACATAGAGTCCAAATACAATCACAAAACATTGCTTTATGCATTGAACAACATACAATTTCATTACAGGATGCTATTGAAGAGGTTTTGAAACCAAATTTCACGGTTGAGAGGTACCATCCTGATATTGTTTGTTTGAATCCGTTTGGAATGTCTCCAGTTTGGAGAGTCCGTATTTAGGGGGCTGTGTGCTGGAGAGATACAAAAGCTAAGCTGTGACGCTTATCGAAATGGGTGTTTAGGGGGTCGATTTGAGCCTATTGGGCTACTAATCCCAGACACTAGTCAGTGAGGCCAGACAGGAGTTGTTTACGATCCCGGCACAAGCTGCTATCCCTGTCACAGACCGAGCTGCACATTTCAATGGAAAAAAAAACACATTACGACCACCCCACCATTGACTTTTAACACCAAAACACTTTTTTTCTCTTCCTGATGTACTTTTGGCGTAGTGCTGAATAGCTTTTTTGTAAGTTTGATGTCTTTCGAGGCAAGTGTCAGCTTTGTCCGCGTTTGTTATTTCCGAGGAGCAATAATGGACTGTTTCAAAGATATTCAAATGGCTTTCTTGATAGGGTATAAATTATAAGGCGTTACCTTCCCTTGATCATGTTGTTTGATTTTGTATCAAGATAAAAAACATAAATCTGACATGGACGAGATTAATGCATAAAAAAATAAAATCCATAAAAAACGTTATTTTTATATCAATAACACCACGTCTGTAGGTATCTTTATGTTACATGTATTTTGGTTTATATAGCTATTACAGGCTCTTAGCTTTACCCATTTCATGATAAGTAATTTCATTCATTTTAAACTGAGGGGCCAAAAAAAAAGGATTTTGAGTTATTGTTTTTGACCTTTGTTAGATTTGATTATGTCTATTTAACAATAACTCTTTCAATCACGGTTTGTGCAAAACATTCTGTGGCTGGGTAATTTTGCGTAAAGACAAATTGGTTCAGTGAAAAATGGAGTAAGAAATGAACTTGCAGCCACATGACCCCTACCACGTGTACCCAAAATGCAAATATATTGATAAGATAAGATGTCAGCTTTTTTATTTTTAAACTTTTTAAATCAAATTATATTAAAAAAAATGTGACCATGTAGAAGTATTTGTTAGTGCTGACTAAGCGGCAGTACAGTTAATTTTTGGATATAACATCGATGATATCGATATTTTCAATTAAATCAAACATATGATAAAATCAACTGAGAGACATAGTTTCCTTTGCACCTCAGTTTATTTCTCCATTGATTCGAACACACGTACTCGAAATAATGATTATTTCGAACCAGACTGCAGCAATGTCTCATTGACCAAACATGTTCGTGGTGACAATAGTAAATAATTTTGTTAACATAAGATAAACAAATATGTTCATAAATAACGTAGATACTGTCTTGTTGAAAAACATGCAGATTGATCTTGTCTACTCGTGTAACGTTGTAAAACGTTATAAAAATCAAACACATGAATTGATATAATAAAATAAATAGAAAATATAAAAACACTCTAGTTCTCTTTAATCACCAGTATCTCCATCACCGTTGTGTGTATTTAAATTGTTATTGTCAACACATTAAACAAATAAACGGTGGTTCTACAACCTTTTAGGTACAGACGTATATGCTTTTTCTACGAAGGTTTCAGAGATACAACTCAGTTGTTTGGTCCAGGGGGACCGTCGGGTAGCCTAGTGGTTAAAGCGTTCGCTCGTCACGCCGAAGACCCGGGTTCGATTCCCGACATGGGTTATCGAACCCGACATGGGTACAATGTGTGAATCCCATTTCTGGTGTCCCCCGCCGTGATATTGCTGGAATATTGCTAAAAGCGGCGTAAAACCATACTCACTCACTCACTCACTGTTTGATCCAGGGTGATAGCATTCAAGGCCTTGGGGATGTTTTCAAAGGTTTTAAGGCAGGCGTCTGGAAGACATTTCCAAATTTGCCGCACCGGTAACTAAACTGATTTCGATTTGTACCATGTTCCCATGATTTTCCAGGTGAAGAACTAACTTGCCTTTGCATGTGTTTGTGACGGGTGCCACCAGTGGAGCAGGATAATCTCAAGGTAATCTTTTTTGGGAACACCAGGTATCATCACTATTTGATACTGATTCGTACAATCGTACAATTGACTCTTATTTTAGCAGATATTTATTTGTGATTATGGAAAGAGCTTTGTCGACTGTATTCCGAAATGGTGATTGAGTATGAAGTAGGTAGCTTTTGAAAACGTTTAGTAAACGTATGAAGCGTTTTGAAATCTCTATATTAGAGAAACTAACGGTGTGTCTGTAAACAGGAGGCAATGTCCTGTGGAACTCGAGTGAGAATAGGTTCCTAAATGTCCAAAGCGGCGACTATATGGGTCGGGTGGCTGGGTACGGTGCCTTAGTAGACTGCATGTCATCGTACCCGGACGATTTCTGCCATCAACCAATTGTTTGTCTGCTCCAGACCCGATTATGTACAGAATGTTGTTGATTGGACCGTAAAACAACAAACAAGCGAAGACTATTCGCAAAGAAATGCCTGCTACAGGCAGTTCACCTTTAATCTCCCCATAAATATGTATAAGGTCTGCGTCTGGTTCAGTGTGTGCTCAAACCTTCTGTGTTGGTAGAAATTAATATACATAATCGCAACTTTATGTCTATGTGAGTTTCTTTTATGTATACAAAATTGGACGAAGTATGTCTCCTTGTCGACGTCCTGTTAGCTTTGTGAGACTCGTGAGCTTTAATAGGCATTTAGCTTGTGGATGAACATGAAGCAATAAAACTGCTATTTCTATGCAATTTGCCACTTTATCGGGTGAATCCTTCAAACAATAAAGAAAAAGTTGCTATTCGATCAACCTGTTGACTCCAGTGGGAAGGTTGAATAACATGGAGTCTTGAGATGAGTGGTATTAAAATGTTGGATCCACCTGTTGCCTCAGTCGGGAGAGGGGCGGTCAGGTAGCCTAGTTATTAAAGCGTTCGCTCGTCACGAAGAAGACCGGGTTCGATCACCGACATGGGTACAATGTGTGAAGCCCATTTCTGGTGTTCCCCGCCGTGATATTGCTAAATGCGGCGTAAAACCATACTCACTCACTCACTCACCCAGTCGGGAGAGAAGTTTGATCAACTTGTTGCCTCAGTCGGGAGAGAAGTTTGATCAACCTGTTGCGTCAGTCGGGAGAGTAGTTTGATCAACCTGTTGCGTCAGTCGGGAGAGTAGTTGGATCCAACTGTTGCCTCAGTCGGGAGTGTAGTTTGATCCAACTGTAGCCTTAGTCGGGAGAGAAGTTTGATCAACATGTTGCCTCAGTCGGGAGAGTAGTTTGATCCACCTGTAGCCTCAGTCGGGAGAGTAGTTTGATCCAACTGTTGTCTCAGTCGGGAGAGAAGTTTGATCAACTTGTTGCCTCAGTCGGGAGAGTAGTTTGATCAACCTGTTGCGTCAGTCGGGAGAGTAGTTGGATCCAACTGTTGCCTCAGTCGAGAGAGTAGTTTGATCCACCTGTTGCCTCAGTCGGGAGAGTAGTTTGATCCAACTTAGCCTCAGTCGGGAGAGTAGTTCGATCCAACTGTTGCCTCAGTCGGGAGAGTAGTTTGATCAACATGTTGCGTCAGTCGGGAGAGAAGTTTGATCAACATGTTGCCTCAGTCGGGAGAGTAGTTTGATCCACCTGTAGCCTCAGCCGGGAGAGTAGTTTGATCAACCTGTTGCCTCAGTCGGGAGAGTAGTTTGATCCACCTGTAGCCTCAGTCGGGAGTGTAGTTTGATCCACCTGTAACCTCAGTCGGGAGAGTAGTTTGATCTACTAACTAAAAATAACCAGTTTGACTTTGTTGATACAACATTGAACAAGTAACGCATATGTTTCATCTTGAACATCATACCAGGAAAAATGGACTAGGATAACGGGTAGTTGAAACATTAGTCTGTCGCTCTAACCCTTGGGCCACTGGTCATTTGCACCATGCGCATTTCTTTGTAAAGTTTGAAATTATAAACAAGAACTTAAGAAAATCCAAGCACACTGTCATCGAATAGTGTACGAACGAAATCTGTTAAAGTGTCCTAACAAAAGCTGTTGGTATAAGCGAAGTCTTGTAACCTGGACTAAGGCACGTGCCAGGTTAAAAAAGAGTTAAAATGCGGGTATGTGATAAAATATCCGTTAGCCCTCGGAGGCCCGTGTGGTTCTTAGTTTACCAGGAACCTCTGTCACGTGATTTAAAACGAGTGCGTGACGTCATATGTGTACCCGGATAGTTATCCAGGTCTCGCGAGATTTGATCTCGATCAGTGATTTCAATTATGGCCCCTTCTGTCCTTAGCTCCGTGCACCACCCGCCCCTATTGTATTGAAGTACGGGCGTTGTGATTGGCTGAATACTTCCGTAAATCACGAATCTGCAGTCTTCTTGAACCCTATAAATCCCCTATCATGTTGATCCGTCAATCATTAACAGACTTGATAAAAGAACATATTTTTGCGTTGAGTCCTGAGATTAGTAAGAGAAGTGTTTAATGGCGGTTTTAGCAGAAACTCTTAGGCAGTGCTTGTACGGCCAAGTCTGTTGGAACAATATGACAAATGCGTATAGTGTAAACAACATACAAGGTAAGGAACTTGATTATTTACCAATTCTTTAAGATGCTGTTTTAAATGAAACAGGTACATAGTTAAGAGTGATACAATTAATTTAGAATCGTGACTAAACTTTCAAATCTGTGTTTCAAAAGCAATAAATATCCACTTAATTTAGATTAGTGAGCAAATTTTACATTGCATGCTTTCGAAATGTATATGGTTTTAGAAGCAAGTACTTCATATACACTCTAAGAACTATCTATAGAAAAACAATGGTAATAACCAATCTTCGGCACTCTACAATTTCTGATATCTCTCACGAAGAAAAAATACGGAAAACAGGAAATCGCACATGCTAAAGTGAAGTAAATCACGTTGACAAGAAATAATTAATATAATAAAAATATGTCTTACAGGCAACTATATTTTAAAGCAATTTAGGACCAATTGTATTCTTTTCAATAATTTAACATGTTTCATCAAATTAAAACAAAAAATAAAACAATCATAAATTTGCATTGACATACAATTTTATACAAGTCCAGCCAAATAATGTTTTTAGGCCATCGGCTCGTGTACAATACTGTACAATATAATCGTGAATACAAAAGAGTACAACACAGTTGTAGAAGTAGTAATCATGTTTATAACGGATCTATTTTCAAGTCGAGCGTCATGGGCTTGTTATGTTCAGAACATTGAGAACCAAATGTTTACGTCAATTAAGAAATCCATAATAATATTCAATAATTTACATTTATCATAATCATAATGTCTACACTGAATACCATGGAAAAGATTTAATCATCATTCCTCAATATCATATAAGGAATTAATATAATCACACTTATGAAAAATAAATATTAGCATTCAACGTGCAGTATAACAGTGCATAACTGAATTCCTTGAAGTATTAATAGAAATGTGACGGACGAAAGAATTGTTGGTTTTCATTACGTATGAATAAAAATCATTTTCAAGTTTATATGAAATAAAGACATCCCGTTTTAACAAAGGCGTATTCTCTATCCATATCATTTGGTACATTTAACTTAAACTGCCGGGCAAAAGAAGGTATACACCCATGTTTGATGGTGGATAAAAATGAAATAACAAGAAATGGTTATTCGACGGTGATGCATGTAACGCGGGTATCGTAGTTGTGTTATGGACCTTTAGGGTTCGGTGACTGCGACGGCCGAGCAACGTTTCGATAACGTTTGAATGATTTGCAAAATCAAATTTCCAAGTGTATGCTTCATTTGCCCGGCAGTTAATAAAGAATTTTTTCATCTACATTTTTGGAAAATAGGTAGAAAAGTGTGGAAAGCAGGTTCGAGCATATTCATATTGTTAATAGAAAAACGAAGCTTGCCATCTTTGTTCATATCAGTTTGTTTTCTTCCATTCAAATGAATTTGTTCAGGATACCAGACAATACCAATTACTTTTGTCCTTATAAATGATTGACCTAGTAGAATGAAAGCCATTAGTTTCCCTGTCAGTTCTAAAGTATAGGGTCTCGCGGGTTTGACAGGAGCAGAACATACAAATGAACATTTTCCAATGTGTAATTTGTCAACATTCCTTGAAAGAGATTACAAAATATCCTTTACATATAAAGCACACAACAAAACATTTATAAGCTATTAAAAGGTATTTGTGACATTTATTTGTTCTGATATATTACAGATATTCATGACTGAATTGTTGATTAAATACAGTCCAACTATAAATCCAGCTGTGAATATGTCGCATTATTGCATTACATTTTGTTTGAATGTAAACAATTGTATGTTATTTTGATATTTACCTATTTACCAGAGACCATCCGTACATGGACTCTGTGGTAATACACTCAACACAGCTTCTTTCTCTACGCGATATTATTTCAATTTTGAGTAAGTATGACGTCATGAAGTAAAACACATATGATTTTTTTTTAGAAAAGACATATTTATGTTTAATTACAACATAAATGTGCAGATGTTGGAAAAATATGTTTTTTCCCGTTGTTCACGTCATGTTTCTGTAATTATTCAAAATAATATTCTATTTTGTATTTCACGTAACGTGAAATTTACTTCATTAATGCAACAACAGTTATACAATATTGCATTTCTTTAAAGAAAATAATTTTAAGAAAAAAAAATAACTTACTGTAGTCACACTTGACCGATGACTAAAATGGGATTTATGTTTTGGCGTTTCAATAGAAAAACAACAATAACAAATCTATGACAATCGCGTAACTATTTCGAATTTATGATTTGTGTGAAGAATTGTTTTAAAAGAAAAACAAAATAATAATATTTGAATAATCAGCTCCAAGAAGTAAGTTCTATCTTACAAATCTGACCTTATCTCCCTAATCTCAATTTTCCCATTAATATACATTTTTTCTATTAAAAATTTGACAGCGGTTGTTGACAATTGTACAAGACAACTGTGGGTAAAAATTGCATGGCTCCGAAAGTCTGACAAAATAAAAAAATAAAAACCATCATATCAAATTTGAGATAAGGTGCATGTCTTGCGGCGATTACTGACAGAATATTCTAAATCCTAAAATTTCACGTTTTAGGATATTTACAGAATTTGTAAAATGTTCCCTGAAGGAAAGACGATGATACATGCCACTCAAACATACACAACCCCGCGAGTGTGATGCAGCTGTAATAGGTTTGAAAAGGTGGACTTGCTTTAAAACATATTTATTTTAACAATATTATTTCTCTGGCCACATGCTGCCCGGAGTTTATTGGTACAATCTCATGGAAGATAAGATCATGCTATTGTAACAGAAAGTTGTATAACTCAATCGGCAATTAATCATACATGATTCAACTGATACCACTAAGCTTTACGATAATTTCAAACCGTCATTTCTACCATAGGGTTTTATTTGCCATTTGAAAAATAATAAAGTTGAATTTTGACCCATTTGATCAAACTTGGTGAATATATCTTTTCACTCAAACAAACAATGCATAAATTGTTATTTTTCGAACAATATAAACCCGCATATACCAACATGCTCTGCTTTAGTAATTTTTCATATCTATAACTGATGTTGTAGCTTATTTTTTTTGTAATTAATTTTGAAGATAAGTTTCATTTTATTTACATAATAGACACACAAGTGTGATTTCTGTTCATACAGCGATAATGAAAATAGATGGAAACAGATTGTGTGCGCACACAATTAGAGAACAAATTGAAAGTATAGGTATCACTTTGGCTGAGAGCTAAAGTTGTGGATGCGGGAGTGTATCGGTTGGTTGATTTTGCGGGTATCATGACTTCAAAGGGTGGCTTATCACATATAGACAGTTTTTTTACACCGGAAATATTTCTGAAACGATTCAAAAACCTGAAAAAAATATTCGTAATTGTTTTCCCAAAGCTCATTAAGATGTACCGATGTGAAAGTTCATTGTCAAAACCAGCAGCACGCATTGAATTGGGAAAAATGTTTCCCCAGACAAATAATCCGAAGCATGTGAGTGAGTGAGTGAGCGATTGGGCTCCTGTAGGCAATCAGATCCGGGCTTTAGGCATCACGTGCATACTTTTGTAGTTTAACACTCACAGTCGTGGTTATGGTTCTGACAATCCGGACATGACGGCGAATCGGGGATCAGCGGATCGTGGCATGGTTAAGGGACGTAACTTTGTACATCATTAAACGCAATCATAACAAATCTGCTTTACTATTGATATCCATATATGTCAATCAAAACTGAACAGCATAATGAAAGTAATCAATTGAATTACTAAAGAAATTCACCTGGTTGTACAAACAGACACCACGCGTTCTCAAAAATGCTTGACATACTCGTTAACTCTCAGCGCCTTTACAAAGCAAATTAAGCCCCATCGGGTTCACCCTATACACATTAACCCTACCCCAAGACTAGCTCTACCAGCAGAGCATGTCAACCTTTTGCATGATAATTAAAATTGAACAGATTAATGTTTTTGTACGGGTTAGCTTTCACCGCGACAACGACAGTCGACACTTCGACCCGAATCCGCTAGATGGCGCACTGGTGGTTACCAGCACGTGGAATGCGGGCTACTGCGCGTGCGTGTCTGCTTAGGGAGTATTAATGTAATAACGTGATAGCAGACGAAACAGCATATCGCCAGCTTAACAACCGGCTGGGTAGAAATCGCATCCAATATGTCTTCCTGGTCGGAACAAGTTAATGTAAATTCATTCGTCGGAAAATGTAAGGTTTTTTAATAGGGGCACGACCCTTTGTATTCACAGCAGGATAATTAGACATGCGTCCGGAGACAACAACTGGGCAATGCCATGTTTATACATGCGGGTGGAGGTGGGGGGAATGCCATGTCGATGGGGGGTGGGTGATGGTGAGCACGATAGATTAGCAGAGTCTATTCTTCAGGGTTTATGCGAAATGTAGCGTTTTGGAATGAGGACACTTTCTTCTTTTCGTTCAGCGGTTGCAGCGCCGTGGGGAAACACTCCCAATGGTGCTACTACACTGAGCGAGAACAGCTGGACGAAGGGGTGGCATTGTGGTGGCAGGGGTTAGGGTAGGGGTAGGGGTGGGGCAGTGACGGGGGTGGGGATGTTTCACTAGGATTAAGACAGGTGCGAGGACACTTACACCGCGCTGTCGACAAAGGCCCGAGATGGTATCGACTAAGTATTTCTTTTAGTAGTTATTTCCTGCTGTGGCTAATGGTGTCGCCCTCTATGCCCTTATTACGCTAAAGACATTAAACAACGTCATTATAATCGAATAATCGACACTTCCGCGAAGGTAAGATATCTTCATAATTTACACAAAAACACATATGTGTGACTTAGTGATTTCATGTTGTAAAGGAGTCGCGCCAATTAATATCAAGGCTTGATCGACTGTTTCTGTTCTGCTATTCACTTGCAAACTATCGGAACCGTGAAGATCCGGGGTACAATAGGTCTTCAGCAACCCATGCTTGTCCTAAGAGACGACTATGCTTGTCGTAAGAGGCGACTAACGGGATCGGGTGGTCAGGCTCTCTGACTTGGTTGATGTCATCGTATCCCAATTGCGTGGATCGATGCTCATGATTTTAATCACTGGATTGTCTGGTCCAGATTCGATTATTTACAGACCGCCGTCATATAGCTGGAATATTGCTGAGTTCGGCTTTAAACAACAAACAAACAAACCAAACAAACAAAATATCGGACACATTAACGGGACTTGGAACATCTGTGTGTGTGTGTGTGTGTGTGTGTGTGTGTGTGTGTGTGTGTGTGTGTGTGTGTGTGTGTCTCTCTCTCTCTCTCTCTCTCCCCCTCTCTCTCTGGGTTATGGATACACCATGACCCACGGTTAAATAGGAATATAGACATACCATGACACACGGTTAAATAGGAATATAGACATACCATGATCCACGTTTAAATAGGAATATTGATACACCATGAACCACGGTTAAATAGGTATATAGATATACCATGACCCACGGTTGAATAGGAATATAGATACACCATGACCCACGTTTAAATAGGAATATAGATACACCACGACCCACGGTTATATAGGATTATAGATATACCACGCCCCATGGTTAAATATGAATATAGATACACTACGACCCACGGTTAAATAGAAATTTAAATACACCATGACCCATGGTTAAATAGGAATATAGATACACCACGACCCACGGTTATATCGGAATATAGGTATACTACGACCCACGGTTGAATAGGAATATAAATACACCATGACCCACGTTTAAATAGGACAATAGATATACCGTGACCCACGGTTAAATAGGAATATAGATACACCACGACCAACGGTTATATCGGAATATAGGTATACTACGACCCACGGTTGAATAGGAATATAATTACACCATGACCCATGGTTAAATAGGAATATAGATACACCACGACCCACGGTTAAATAGGAATATCGATACACCACGACCCACGGTTAAATAGGAATATAGATATTGCACGTCGCTATATAAGTGCAATAATCTTGGACGCGACGTTAAACCCCATTTCACCTTGTTACCTAGCTGTGCCTTTACCAGGTTAACCAAGATAACGTGTAGTGAAGATCTCAACGGAAAGTGTTATCACGTTAATAACAAAGCAGCGTACCACGGAGTTAACATATGCCACGACATCAGCAGCCTAGTTGCCATGTTTCCAGTCCACTGAGCGACAAAGGCCATGTATCAGCCTGTCAACCCCCTTCGGCCCTAAGCCCTTCACACAGGACATCTCCTTAACGACCACAATGCGGGCCTGTCTGGGTAGTGAACTATGTGTATTAGTGGGGATTAGCATACTGTGTTAATCTTTCTATTAAAAAGGATAAATGGTTGTGTCCTTTAATGTTAACTGGTGGCACGTGAAACTCTTTATTTTATATTTTATTTTTGCATCTCTTTACATTTGATGCGAGGTTAGACACAACAAAGGTGTCTATGTGGCCTGAACCTAAAAGGAAAATATACAGCCACGTTTGATGATGGCTAGAAATGAAACAAACGAGAATGGTCATTCGATTGTGATGTGTTTAATGAGGGTATCATAGTTGTATTTTAGACCTTGTTTGCGGTGTGATGGCGATTGGATAACGTTTGTAATTGTTTGGTCAAATCCAATTTTCAAGTGTATACTTTCTTTCGTCCGGCAGTTTAGTATGGACTTTGTTGAATTCATCCTGTGAACTGTATAAAGTCACGGCTAAGTCCTTATGAGAGTACGATGCGTTTTGTGTTAATTGTTTTCGGGACATCCAGGTAACACTATTTATTATCGGACGCTGTAAAATTGAGGCAATTCCTTCATACCACCAACCCTATACACTGAATATCAAAACAGCTGTGTCTTAAAATACATCATTTTAAATTTTACTTCGACGACAGACTTTAAGGTGGTTCAGGTAAAATAAAAATAATTTTTAAAATTTAAAAACAGGGGCCTCAGCAGGTCATTGTTTCATGGCTAGATGAGCCAGACACTACGACAAGTGGCCCGTGAAGATTAGAATAGGTCTTCAGTAGGTGAGGTGAGGTGAGGTGTGGTGAAATGGGGTTTAACGTCGCGTCCAAAATTTTTGCACTTATATAGCGACGTGCATTTACATGTGTGTGTTTGTGTGGCTGCTTGTACTAGTCCGGACTAATGGCGATTCATAGTGCTAACTCACTGAGATACCATGCCGCAGTTTAACATGAATACCCCACTCAGACACAGTATACTGACTCCGAGCCGACCAGTCCTTGTTTTAGCCCCTTAATGCCCAGCGCCAGACAGGGTAACAACAAGTACCATCTTTTAACGTCTTTTGGTATGACGCGGTCGGGGATCGAACCCCGGACCTTCCGCTCTCCGGGCGGACGCTCTACCACTAGACTACGGAGGCGGTCAGGTCTTCAGTAACCCATGCTTATCGGAAAAGACGATAAAGGGTATCGGGTGGTCAGGCTCGCTGACTTAGTTGATGCATGTAATCGAATCCCAACTGTGTAGCTCGATACACAGTTGTCTTTTCCAAACTGGAATATTGCAGAGTGTGGCGGTAAACAACAAACAAAACACGATGAGCTATGATAGACATTTTGGTCCCTTGGCGCACTCCACTACCAGCACAATCCGCCCGACGGCGATGGAGTAGCGGCGTTGTGAGACTCCTGGCTGTATTATAAACTCCTAATTCTCGTTATGGTAGTGATGCTTAGCGAGGCTTTGTATTGGCGTCCCGTGGGGAGGTTTATCGACGTTTCAACAACCAAATGTGTCACTGAAAACAGGACTTCGCCTGGCGCTGTCTTTGTCAAAGCCAGGTGGTGTCAGTCATCGGGACACTTCCCGTGGCAGAGTGTGTTCATCGAGGAGTGTCCCCGTGTCCTAGATCAACGAGCTCCTTGAGTAAGTGAGTGAATGTTGCTCAACGCATCAACCAGCAATATTTCAGCTGCATCACGGCGGCCTGTAAATAACATTACGAGAGTATTTTTTTGACGCCTCAGCCAGCAATATCCCGGCTACATGATGGCGATCTGTAAATATTAGTGCAAGAGTATGTTGTTTGACACGACAGCCAGCAAAATGCCGGCTACAGCCTGTAAATAATAGAACGAGAGTATTTTGTTTTACGCCGCAGCCATAAGTATCCCGGCTACATCACGACAGCCTTTAAATAATGTGACGAGAGTATTTTGTTTGACGCCGCAGTAACAAATATGCCAGCTACATCACGATGGCCTGTATAGAATAGACTCTGGGCCTGGAAAACCAGTGACTGAAAGCATGAGCAACGCTCAGCGAAATCGTGGCACCACGACTCCCAGTCTGCCCAGCTACCGAATCCGAATCTGTCTAGCGCTCAGGTCATCTTAACTTCCATCCCTTAGAATAGATTTAGGTCAGTATTATCTCTAAGATCACTTTGTGGAACAGGGCCATGGTTCCTGGATGCTCAACGTGACGTAACATCATCACAACACAATAGTTATTTTTTCTAATAGTGCTACCGGTGGATGGACATACTTACCCCTTTCACGAGCGCCTGGTGTCATCTCTGATTTTCGGTGATCCATTCATATAATTTCAATATATTCCCTTCTGTTTCGGTAGATAGTCAAGACTGATCTTGAATAACGTTGCCGTTTTATATTTCTAATTACGACATAAAACATAGTTGCAATTTCAAAAATGTAGCTGATTGTTTGAAAATATCTTTGATATTTGCAAATTAAAAAAAAGCTGTTCTATGAAGAGTTTCTGATTCCTGTGATCGTTTGTTCGAGTTCATCCTAGAAACCTGTGGATTGGGGTTTCACCAAAGTAGTAAATGTCCAACCCCTCCATCGCTTCGGGCTCTTCTCCCCCGACCCGTGAAGATTCCGGGGTAGAATAGGTTTTCAGCAACCCATGCTTGCTGTAAAAGGTGACTATGCTTGTCGTAAAAGGCGACTAACGGGATCGGGTGGTCAGTCTCGCTGACTTGGTTGATGCATGTCATCGATCCCAAATGCGTGGATTGATGCTCATGATATCAAGCACTGGATTGTCTGGTCCAGACTCGATTATATACAGAATAGCTGGAATATTGCTGAGTGCGGCGTTAAACAACAAACCAACCAACAAATCTTCGCCCCCATTAAGCTGAGACGCCCTGATATCTCTGGAATATCGATCAAAGCGTTAAACCCAACTCACTCACTCACAGTTCTATAACTTAAGTTTATTCCTTTCCAGAAATAACATCAGTGCAAACGCCGAAACAAGTTAGAGTTGGTCCATCGTCTCTCCCCGGAGCAAGTCTCGGCGTGTTCTCGACCACGTGGATCAAAACGGGAACTGAGATGGGGCCGTTCATTGGACGAGTTGTCAACAGAGAGAATATGGACTGCAGCAGCGAAAACGCTTGGGAGGTTGGCAAAAAATACTTTATTAACACTTTACGAAAATAGATTCCAAGAAAAAAACGCTCGGCGGCTTGTGTTGATTCCGGATGTTATAAGGAGCCCAGTTGTCATGGCATCTCGCAGGAAAGCAGGATAAAGCATGGTCGAGTGGCTGCAATGTGGGACCTAGATGATTGAATCGTACCGCACGGCATATGCCCGGCCAAAGTTTGATTATTCACAGACCGCTGTGATATAACTGTCATATTGCTGATTGTTGCGTGAACCAATAATCACGCATTCGATTAGTCACAGACCGCTGTGATATAACTGTCATATTGCTGATTGTTGCGCGAACCAATAATCACGCATTTGATAGTTCACATACCGCTGTGATATAACTGTCATATTGCTGATTGTTGCGTGAACCAATAATCACGCATTCGATTATTCACAGACCGCTGTGATATAACTGTCATATTGCTGATTGTTGCGTGAACCAATAATCACGCATTCGATTAGTCACAGACCGCTGTGATATAACTGTCATATTGCTGATTGTTGCGCGAACCAATAATCACGCATTTGATAGTTCACAGACCGCTGTGATATAACTGGCATATTGCTGATTGCGGCGTAAACCAATATTCACGCATTCGATTAGTCACAGACCGCCGTGATATAACTGTCATATTGCTGATTGTTGCGTGAACCAATAATCACGCATTCGATACTTCAAAGACCGCTGTGATATAACTGTCATATTGCTGATTGTTGCGTGAACCAATAATCACGCATTCGATAGTTCACAGACCGCTGTGATATAACTGTCATATTGCTGATTGTTGCGTGAACCAATAATCACGCATTCGATAGTTCACAGACCGCTGTGATATAACTGTCATATTGCTGATTGTTGCGTGAACCAATAATCACGCATTCGATAGTTCACAGACCGCTGTGATATAACTGTCATATTGCTGATTGTTGCGTGAACCAATAATCACGCATTCGATAGTTTACAGACCGCCGTGATATAACTGTCATATTGCTGATTGCGGCGTAAACCAATATTCTCGCATTCGATTAGTCACAGACCGCCGTGATATAACTGTCATATTGCTGATTGTTGCGTGAACCAATAATCACGCATTCGATTAGTCACAGACCGCCGTGATATAACTGGCATATTGCCAGTTTGTTGCGTAAACCAATATTCACGCATTCGATTAGTCACAGACCGCCGTGATATAACTGGCATATTGCAGACTGTGACAAGTGAGTGACTCACTCAGTCATTATTTGTTTCAGATCTTTGACGATCAGGGCAACATCTTGCTGTACCTTGACGGGGGGACAGAGCATCCCCGGGCCAGCTGGCTCTCCTATGTCAACTGTGCCAGGAACGAGCAGGAACAGAACCTCGAGACATTCCAAGTAGGCAGGAACATCTTCTACAGAGCCATCAAGGTAAGTTGTCCGGTAAGGGCCCACTGAGGATTCTGGCTCAGAATAGCACTCCATGCCTACCTGTCGAACAGGCAGTTAATATTAGTTAGAGAGTGAGTTGGTTTAACGCCGCTTTTAACAGTATTCCAGTTATATCACGGCGTGTCAGCTTAATGTGGGAGGAAAGCCCGAAGTGATGCAGGTCTAAGACGTTTACCACTTTGGTGAAACCCACGAGCACGGGTATGGTGCTGACAAACCTAGAAACATAATCGGGTCGAACCGGGGTTCGAACCCACAATCATAGGTTTCTGGCGTGCCCAAGGGACGCAACTCTGCACAGCGAGTCGCGGCGCCTTAGACGACTGGGCCACCCGTGCCCCCAGTTAACATGAGGAACGGATGGTCTACAATAGGGATCGGATGATCAGGTCACTTGCGTACTGCTTGACCTTCATGTTCTGCTTTTTACGATTCTATTTTAACAAAACCAAACATATTAAAAAGCGTGTAATTCGTTTTTGAGATATGTTATTGATTACACATCATGTAAACTGTTTTGTGTTTTGGACAGAGTCAGGTGATTTGTTCAGGTGATTCAAGCTCGATAGCTGCGGTATTATCTCCTGTGTGACATCAATTCATTAATCCGTATTACTGAGGTCCCGTCTAAGAAGACTGGACAGTCAGGGCATAGGGACCATCGAAAATATATGGAGTTAGTTCGAGACAAGCGGAGTGCCGATATTTTGCAATCTAATCTAAGGCCCGTTCCAGAAAGCGAACTTAGAGCTACGACTATCGTTAGTAATGTTAACAAATTGGATCTACGACAATCGCAGCACGAAGATCGTTTGAAAAAACAGTCCCTTGGGAATACAGTTTCAGTGTCATGATCCTCTAGATATCCAGATTTCGAGACAAGAGGAGTTTAAATTAGTAAGGACAATGGTTCAACCATGTTCACAACGTTACAGTTAAAGGAGTGAGTGAGTTAGTGAGTATGGTTTTACGCCGCTTTTAACAATATTCCAGCAATATCACGGCGGGGGACACCAGAAATGGGCTTCACACATTGTACCCATGTCGGGAACCGAACCCGGGTCTTCGGCGTGACGAGCGAACGCTTTAACTACTAGGCTACCCGACCGCCCCTTACAGTTAAAGGAATTAATCGAGTTCTAAATATAGTGGTTCCACTGTTTATGATATTATCTACACCCGGATATAGGGTGGTTGTATTGTGACGCGTTCCCCAAGACTCATGTAGATTACCTACTTCATGAGGGAGAATTTTCCAAGTGCAGATGCATGTTTCTTTCTTTGTTTGTTAGCTGTTTATCGCCGCACTCAGCAACATTCCAGCTGTATGACGGCGGTCTCAGTAAATAATCAAGTCTGGACCAGACAATCCAGTGATTGACATCATGACCATCGATCAACGCAATGGGGATAAGATGACATGCGTCAACCAAGTCAGCGAGACGGACCACCCGATCCCGTTTGTCGCCTCTTACGATGAGCATATAGTCGCCTTTTACAGCGAGCATGGGTTCCTGAAGACCTGTTCTACCCTGGATCTTCATTAAAGAACGCTTGTGTTTCATTCCAGGACATCCCCCCGCAACAGGAATTGTTGGTTTGGTACGGAGCGTCCTTCAACTTATATATGGGTATCCCGTCCCTGGGTCACCCGGTGCCAGAGGTCAAGGACGTGTCACCTGCAGGTCTGTGTTTACTGTCACTGTTAATAGTTCAATACATTGAGGTGGTTAAATTATCTTGTCAAATGAGACATTTATATAATTGAAGTCGTATTGATGAATAAAAATTAATTAATGCCGAAGGAAGTACTGGAGAAATCAATTTTGCTTGAGGTTCCAATAGCCCCCGGCTCCCACAAACAGAAAACATATATCATTCAACTGATGTTTTGAAAAGAAAAAAATCCTTTGGTTTCTCGGTTAGAGAAACAAGTTTATGTCTTGTTGTACTGATGGAACAAATATTCTGTCTCAAACACAATTCCATTAGAAAAAAAATACACAATAAAAACAAACAAACAAACAAATAATTGGTGGCTTTGTACACTAAGTGATTAGAGTTAGTTTTCATAGTTGATATCAAGGACAAGTCCCCACCGCCCCCTCGAAATATGGTAGAAGTCTGCTCGGTATTTCAGCTGTAGGGTAAGTTGTCTGATAAATGTTGTGAAGCACCAAATAAATTTATGAAACAAATCTTAAACTGTTCTTTTAGACCCCAAGTCTCAACATCAGCATCAGCCGACCCTCCCGAAACAGACGCCCCTCCCTGCCACGAAGCTGAAGTGTGTGTTGTGCAGGCGGGGGTTCAACTCTAGGAGCAACCTCCGCTCGCACATGCGCATACACACCATGGAGAAGCCATTTGTATGTCGCTTCTGTGACCGGAGATTCAGCCAGTCTTCCACACTCAGAAACCACGTCCGCCTACACACAGGTAGGCTATTTGACCACGCACTTTAACACTGTTCAATATCTACTTGGTTTACGGATCTACCGATCCAAATTTTCCTAATGTGCAATAAAATGAAACGTGATCTTTCTTACCCAGAAACCATAAAATTGTATGGTCTCTGTTACCGAAGAGCCATAAAAAAGACAACTAGGTCGATGCGAAGCGAAATAACCCGTCTCCAGCTTTTTCTTTATGCTTTCCGACAATTCTCCAAACACCCCTTCAACAATCTCATCGCTAAGCAAAGATCTGAGGACATCCGGGTCACGTCAGAACGACCTTTCATCCGACCAATCAAAGCGTCGCTTACCAGATCGTGAAAGTGACAGTCGGAATGTGTTTTCTAAACATGCAACCTCGAAAACGTTAAAACGGGGTATTCCGAACGACAGTAACGGCCCGTACGACCTATTCCGTCAAAATTATCGTCTGTCTCTCGCTTCCGTAGGATAAACATTTGAACGGAGGAGGCGTTGCACATACAATATCAACAATATATTAGACATTACGGATTAGTCTTTTGTTCAGTTTTCAAAACTGTGTCAACATTTTTCAAGCGTAGTCTGAAATGGAAGTGGCCAAGTTGGAAAGAGTGCCGTAAAACTCGAGAAAGCTGCTTTCTCATTGGCTGATATCAACCTCTTGTTATTCGTTTCAGTGGTCGGTCAAAGTTCGCGAAAGGTCGTTCTGACGTGACCCGTAATGGGATGTCCTCAGATCTTTGTTTAGCGGCAGCGAGAACTTAGATCTGATTTTAATGAGATTGCCCCTTCAACTGCATTACATGAAAAACAAGAGTTATCTCCCTTCGCCTTGTCAGTATGCATATGTTGAACTTGTATGTATATTTTTTATAACTTTGTAATTGTGTACATGCAAATAAATGGCGAGATAGACATTGGTAGCTTTGTTTTTCTGTGAATGGAGGTTTTGTGAATATTTTATATATTTTTTTAATTCGACCACTGATGATTCTGTTATGGAAAAAACTAACATTAGACCAAGTTAACAAAAACTAGGCATTTTCATGCGATGGCTATTATCTTCACCCTTTTACCCAGGGTGTCTATTGTAGTCTTATATATAATATATACCCCCATTCGTTATCATGTGACTATTTTGTTACATTCATTACAAATGTAAGTCATTTTATCATTTCCAACGCAAAAGAGACGATAGATACTACTTAATAATTTGTGATGTAATTTTTTTTTAACACTAACGTCAACACCTTTATCACTTTAGGAGAAAAGCCGTACAAGTGTACAGTCTGCCAGAGCTCGTACAGTCAGCTTGCCGGCCTGCGCGCGCATCAGAAGAGCGCGAGACATCGACCACAAGCCAATCAGCAACAGTCACACACGTGACATCTGACATTCCATACACGTCTGTAAACAATAACGAGAAAAAATATATATTTGAAACATATTTTGAAAGTACTTTGGTGCTGAGAACTTGCATATCAGAAATACCGAAGCATCGACACACATGTTACATACATGTATACATACATATATATATTTATACTCAGCTGAGCCACTTGGTTAACATAGGTAGAAGTATGTACTATTTAAATGTCGACGTGTTCCGTGAAGTCATATACTTGTAAGTCAAAATATGCAATAATAACATTGTGATAAATGCAATCCCATGTCAACTGGGGCAGCTTGGCTCAACCAGCCACCAATGTGATTGAAGCGAACTGAGTGGCGCTCAAGGGTATAGGAGTTGTCTCCCTTGAAATAGAGACTTTGTGCGCGTAAATGGCATCGGTCATAACGACCAATTTTCCATGCTTAACAAAGACAGGCAGAGTCGAGTATGCGGGGTGTCCATACTATTTATTATTGTTGGTTTTTTTCAATTTAGTCACCGGTCATAAGTAAGTTATTTTTATTAATTTACTGATTATTCTTTTAAAATATTGTTTTATTTAATTTTAATTCCAAAATATGACTTTTCTTTCTAAGAATGTCTTTTTTCAGTAAAATGAACTAAATTATGTCTATGTCCATAAAATATAAGATGCAGAATTGTCATCACCTAACAGTGCCTTATATGACAGTGTTTAGTATGATGTTACATACACCCGTGCATCAGACACCTTCCTCGAGGACTTTCCACATTTGGCCATTGCCGGAACTACTTTCACAGTGTATATTTTTTTGTGGTTACATGTGCCGCTTACACACTTGTATCTTTACATTATTATGTTTGTAATTGTAAATAAATATTTATACTTCCTGGTTTGAGTTGTGTCTTTAGTCCCACAAGGTTGCTTTTAAGGTGTTATTTGTGAAACAGAGTTGCCTGATGTATATTATATGTATATATATATTATTATCGATAGTTTAGCATTATAATGACTGTCAATTCGTTTTTTCGAAGATGTAACTGTCGCTGTCGTGCTTTTGGTTACCTTGCACGATTCTTTCCGTGAATCGAAAAGTCGGCTCTTATCACTCATTTTCATCTTCCTGAGGCAAGGGAGTTAACTGACCTTAAAAGTCATTAAACTCCCTTGTTTCTGGAAGATGCTCATTTTTGCAATATTTAAGTATTTCATCATACCAGAAGTCCATAACTTACAAGTGTAAGAAAGAAAACCAGCTTTGTGTGAACAACTTGCACTTATCTTTATCTTTTGTTTGTTTGTTTGTTTGTTGTTTAACGCCGCACCCAGCAATATTTCAGCTATATGATAGCGGTCTGTAAATAGTCGAGTCTGGACCAGATAATCCAGTTACTGACATCATGAGCATCGATATATGGATACGATAACATGCATCTATCAAGTCAATATTTCAAGTCGGCAAAAATGTCCCTGGTCCCTCCTCGCCCTTCAAATACGTTAAATTATATCAATAGGTGAGGCGAAATGGGGTTAACGTCGCGTTCAAGATTATTGCACTTATATAGCGACCTGCACGCACGTGTGTGAGTGTGTGTGCTTGTACTAGTCGGACTGATGCCGATTTTAAAGTGCTAGCTCACTGAGATACCATGCCGCAGTTTAACATGAATATCCCACTCAGACACACTATACTTATTCCGAGCCAACCAGTCCTTGTTTTACCCCCTGAATGCCGAGCGCCAGGTAGGGTAACAACAAGTACCAGCTTTTGGTATGACGCGGCCGGGGATCGAACCCCGGACCTTCCGCTCTCCGGGCAGACGTTCGATCAACCACGGAGATGGACAATCATATCAGTCTCCCTATCCAAGTTGAATATTTTAGTAGTATATAGATAAGTATTCCATGAGGCAAACGTAACCGTGATCATATCAGTATGCGAGGTCAAAACCACTTTAAACAGTATTTCAGATGTAAATCACAGCATGGCACCTTTATACACGTGTTAAGAGAGTCCAATTTATAATCATAGCGGGTCTCGCAAAGGGGCACAACTCTGCACAGCGTTTGCCAGTCTGCAAACTCGGCTGTCGAGTTAATGGGATTGTTGATTCATAGCGTTCAGACAGGTTCACCTGGCGATAAAAATACTTCCGAGATCCCACAGCTGTTTAATACTGACTGCATGTGACTTTACCAAGGGTATACATGAGCGTTCGTTGTTTTATCAATTATGCTGTACTCATATACCATGGAGGATAATTTAATCGGAGTTGTACGTGTAAACGTTCTATGCCAAAAGTAAATCATTTTCTTAGCAATATTAATTGATAGCGGAAATCTACCTAGTTCCCCATAAATCATGAAATTAAGAGTGGGCGGCCCATGCCCCCGATATACTGTTCGAAGCCGTGTTAAGCCTAAATCACTCACTCGCTATGCAGACCCTTTGGGCCTAAAAGGTCCTTATAATACCTTGTCCTGTTCACATTATAAGTCATCAGTTTTGAATATCATAAAATAATACGATTATCCCTATCAAACGCACGCAGAAGCACATCGTACATTTGGAGAAAGGTTTCCATTAGTTAAATTTTGCAATAATGTTTTCCTTATCTTTGAAGTTATAAATAAGTGAGTGTTATCGTGCCATTAGATTGACAACGATGTAACAAATACGGTGTTTTGCCGAGGAATGTCGCTTGGTTTTTATCGACGAGTATACATGACTCTGTTTTAGCCCACCTTAACCTGCTTCTGATGATGTTTGCTCTCGTCATTGAAAGCATGTCAGGAAATGATCAAAGAGATTATGAATAGAATTACAAAAATGATGCAAGCGATAATAAAATTCGTTTCCAATAGCAATGGAATTGCGTCATTTACTAGAGTTTTTATGCCGTCTTTAGCAATATTCCAGCTATATCACCACGGGTACACAAGAAATGGCCTTCATACATTGTTTACCATACCGGGAATCGAACTCGGGTCTTCGGCATGACGAGCGAACACTTTAACCACTTAGCTACCCGGCCGCCCCTTATTTACTTGAACCATGACGTTAGTGTTATATATAACTTCTGAATAATTTCGCATCAATACCTATAATTGCGTCAGCTTTACTTGTTAGAATGGCAACTGAATTCCTAACTCAGAATCGACTGCAAAAAGAATAGCGTGAAGACATCATAAAGGTTTAATTTGGGATATCAACCGGTTTCTGTGTTTGTTTGTTTGTTGTTTTACGCCGCACTCAGCTCTATTCCAGCTATATGACGGCGGTCTGTAAATAATCGAGTCTGGACCAGACAATCCAGTGATTGACATCATGAGCATCGTTCCACGCTATTGGGATATGATGACATGCATCAACCAAGTCAGCGAGTCTGACCACCCAATCCCGTTAATCGCCTCTTACGACAAGCATAGTCGCCTTTTACGACAAGCATGGGACTCTGAAGACCTATTCTACCTATTCTACCTCGGAGTGAGTACATGCTGTGAAATAAGGAAACTAGCTCTTTCTATTGTTTTACAACGGCCCCGTAAAAAGCATATGCTACATTCGGTTTTATATCGAGTTATAATATGAACCAGTTAATCCAGAAATCTAGCCATCCGGATTAATGGGGATATTTCGTAACTTGACTCAAGAAAGCAACGGATACGTTTTCCTTGTCGCTCTTGTAATCTGTTGAGTCGGTAGTGCCACTCACTCGCCCACCCTTCAGGCTTCAGGCTGAATTTTTTAAACCGCTTCCACACAATGGACAGAGACTACCTCCGTGGTCTGGTCTGGACAGAACTCCCGTAAATAACTGAGTTTGGAACAGACAACTGTGCATCGATCTACACAGTTGGGATTCGATTACATGCATCAGCCAAGTCAGCGAGCCTGACCACCCGATACCCTTTATCGTCTCTTTCGAAAAGCATGGGTTACTGAAGACCTGACCGCCTCCGTGGTCTAGTGGTAGAGCGTCCGCCCGGAGAGCGGAAGGTCCGGGGTTCGATCCCCGACCGCGTCATACCAAAAGAAGTTAAAAGATGGCACTTGTTGTTTTCCTGCCGAGCACTCGGCATTAAGGGGTAACACATGACTGGCTCGGAGTCAGTTTACTGTGTCTGAGTGGGGTAACCATGTTAGACTTCGGCATGATATTACAGTGGGTTAGCTCTGTTAAACCACCACTTGTCCGGACTAGTATAAGCACACACACACACACACGCACGCACGCACGCACGCACGCATATTTAATTTTTGTTAAATATTGGGCATAGTAAGCCTAACTGTGGTCTAGATAAACTCTTAATTCGTACTGTCCGTACTGCTATTCACACAAACATGATGAACTTGAGAATTTGATTCCAGTTTATACTTTGAATGACAATTCAAAGAAACAATTCATATAGCACGTTTCTGTCATTCTTTCAACTAAAGATGTGATTGAGGGTACGCTTCTAACATATTCAACTGCCACGGTGATCGCTGATACAAACAGTGGTCAAGTGTCGTATATTGATCGATTCATGAACCAATATTAGGTTTTTTTTAATCGATTTTACTTATTTTCGAAAAACCTAAAACTTTTTGGTGGCGACACACCAATGATGATGATCGGGACCACGACCAGCAGATCCTTGTACTTCTAAGGGAAGCTACTCTGCACTGACCAGGCAACCCGTGCTCCCCAACTCAGTTTCAATCCACGAAAAGCGACCAGAGATTTCGGAACAAAGAAACCACACCCAGTCCTTAACGCGACACTTAAACATTTACCAGCTGCATGAAGGCGGCCTGTAAATAAGCGAGTTTGAATTAGACCATTTAGTGATTGATATTATGAGCAACGATACGCGCCGGCCTACGTTGGCACGCCATCAACCGTGTCACCAAGCTTGAGTTACACCCGATTCCCGTAGTCACCTCTTACGACCAGTGGCTCATGAAGATCCGAGGTAGAATAGATCTTCAGCAACCCATGCTTGCCGCAAAAGGCGACTATGCTTGTCGTAGGAGGCGACTAACGGGATCGAGTGGTCAGGCTCTATGACTTGGTTGATGCATGTCATCGATCCCAAGTGAGAGGATCGATGCTCATGTTTTCAATCACTGGATTGTCTGGTCCAGACTCGATTATTTACAGACCGCCGTTATATAGCTGGTATATTGTTGTGTGCGGCGTTAAACAACAAACACAAACAAACAAACAAACAAAACAAATCTTACGACCAGTATAGGTTGCTTGGGACCAATTGTAACCCCGCGGATGTAATGAAGTAGGTTAAGTCTTTGGCTTTGGCTTAAGGCTTTGTGCACTAGAGGGAACTATAAAACCTGCAATGAACGTGCGATCGGGCATAAAACACGAACAATCATGTATCGCCTGTCGAAATCCTGCTTCCCAAATACACATATCTATTAGCGACCCGTTTCCTAGCATTTTCTTGATACCTCACACAAAAGTGGGACTCTAACGCTGAAAGTTATGGCGAAAAGATTTGTATCCGTCTTCAAAACGTCTATGACGTTTGTTGAATCTCCACAAGCATGTAAAAATATTTACGGCCATCCTATCTCCCATTGGGGGTTATTAAAACTGTAATCGCTTCGTTCGTGTTATCGTTTTTTTAACGTATTTTGAATCGTTCAATGGTGGATATCGATCCGATTTCAGTCACCATCGTGTCTGACGTAGCTGTCTAAGTCACGTCATCAAGATGACGGCGTTCCCGCAGGGTCTCGTAATGGTCTCGATAATGGACGAGATAATGTTCAAAGTAGCTGAGATTAGCCCGAGGGTGAATCTAAAAG